AAATCAATATGCCAAATAAACCAGAATTAGACAGTCATAAGTTAGAATTGCATGCAGAATAGCAATTAAGCCAATAATCTCAGCACTGATCTTGAGATGTAGAGGTATAAATTATGTTGAAAAGCCTCTGATCAACATATTAAGGCCCACTAATCACGTAACCAGCATGGTGTACATATATTGTTTGCTATAGAATGTGAGCAACCTCATAAAGATGAAAGAAAATACCTGTCAAGCGTTCCGCTGATTACAAAAGTCAAACCAGCTAAACAGTTAGGAGCACCTTCAGGAACTTCCTGCCACACATAAAGAGACACATCCTTGTTAGCATTCACAATGAGAGAATTTTTTATCCTTTACGTAATACGGGTGTTATAAGTAGTGGAAAACCTTTTCTCCTTTGTGTGGAGGATCTTTCCTTTCACCAAAATTCATAAATCCACCCCGTCCTCCGCCACCTCTGCCTCTTCCACCACCAGGTACTGTCGACGCACCTCTTCCACCACGGCCCCGTCCACTGGCTTTAAGAGGAGACTTGGTGTCATTATCATCATCTTCGTCAATTTCATCAACATCCATGCCTTTACCACCAGACCGTCTGGTTGAGCCACCTCTTCCTCCACGACTCCTTCCAGCAAATTTAAGATGAGATTTGGCATCTTTATCATCATCCTTATCTTCATCACTTTCATCAATATCTGCAGATTTCTGGGCAATTCCCTTACCCGAACCAATCTTACGTTTCTTGCTGGGGGTGACATTAACTACCTTCTTCCTTGAATTGGGTGAAACAAAATCATCGTCATCATCCTCATCCTCATCAACTTTGTGAAGTTTCTTAACAGGCGGAGGTTTTACATCACTTGATAACTCCTCACCATCCTTTTGGACCTTTCTTTTTGCTGAGAGTTCCTCCTTTTCCTTTTCATCTTTTGGCTTTGGTTTCTCTGTACCAAAATACTTGCTAGTTTTCCTTCTGCCTGAACTTTCTTGGCCTTCATGCACCTAGGTTCCCACAAAGTACATACAAGTATACTATCATTTCAGTTTCTTTATTACAATATAAAGCAAGGAAGATGATTGATTCATAGGTCACTAAAAATTTAATTTTTTCTTTCTCACCAGTAGTCCAAGTATCTATGTTTTCACGTAAACTTTTCTTTACAACTGATGATACAACAAAGTCAAAGGACCTCATGTATCGTTCAAATGTTCAGTACTTTCGGTTCTCTGTCAATTTGGGTCCTTCATCTTTAATGCCAACAAAATGAAGGAAAAGAAAAGAAATTACAAGGCTGAACCATAGAGTTTCATCACTGGACCTAAGATAATACTATTGTTATCCTTAAAACAAGTAAGATTTTTGCCAGTCCCAGAACCAAGAAGCTAAAGTTCTCTTCTTTTTTCCCTTTTCCTCCATTTTTCTAAGAAACCAACAAATTCTAACCCATATTCATCTAAACAAACACAAAATCAGAAAGTTCGGAAACCTAAACAAACACAAAACCAGAAAGTTTGGAAATTTACTCACCTGTTTCTCTGGATTTGATGTAGCCGTTGAAGGCTTCTCCGGTGTTGCGAGCTTCGCTGGCTTCGATGCATTGCCATTGTTCTTGTCATGTTGTTTCATAAACCACTTCCTAATATCCGACTGATATTCAAAGACAATCCCAAACGCAATCAAGTAATCAACCCCGCAGTTTTTTTTAAAATTTAAAAAAAAAAAACAAACAAACAAACAAACAAACAAGAACACCCAAAACAAGGGAAACAAAATTGACCCAAAAATTATCAAAAAAAAATGTAACCCAATTCCCAAAATTTTGAAAACAATACTCAAATTAAAAATAAACTAAATGTAGATACTAAAAACCCTAACTCACCATATTGGGGATTCAGCCACTGGTTCCACCTACAATGTTGCAAACTTTTTATTCGGCACACTCGAACACAATCTGTAGAACAAATAAACAAAGTAAAATGAGCAAAAAAATAAAAAGACGGAATGCGTTGATATATTAAAAAATAACAAAAACAATTAAAATAAATTGCTAAGAATGTAAAAAAAATCAAGACTTATAGATACAAAAAGATTGCAAAATTCTTATAAAAAGCAAATTGAACGAAAAGAAAGAAGATAAGAAGATCATCGGTACCTTGATGTTGAGTTGGGTAAATTCTCTGGCTAGGAATAGTTTGGCAGGGAACAAACCCTAACTGATAGGGAAAAAAAAGGAGAGAGATGAAGGGTGCGCAGCAAAGAAGAGAGAGAGTGAGAGAGAGAGAGAGAGTCTTCCATACCTGGAGGGAGTTGCAGAGAGTGACAGCATTGCAATTGAGGAAAAGATTTAGAGCACTCTAGGGTTTTTTATGGTGAGTTTTGAAGGTTCGAACACTGTGCTCACAACAACGAAAGTGAAGTTTGATTTTCTCGTGCCAGAAAATTGATGAGAAAATAGAAAAAGTAGAGAGAAAATAACGAGCTAGAGAGAGAGACCGAGAGAAACGAGGGAAGACAGAGAGACATGCATAAACAAAGTTCTCTCTACTTCGTCGTCTACTCAGATTGCGTGGCTCCGCAACCCAGGTTCGGGTCTGACCAGGCCCAATTTGAGTTCGGCCACAGATAAACGCCGAAGCTCAAGTCCAAAAGAAAAATTATTAGTTGATCGGGCATCACGTGATCATCTCTCACATCGATCACAATTTTCCACGTCAATTCTAATTTATTATGTCTTTTTATAACTTTTAATTATCTTACTTCTTTTACTAATAAGAGCAACTCCAAAGGAAGAGGTAAAATGAGACTGTTAGCTATTTTAGCTTGGATGATCCTAATATTCTCACTCCAATGGGCTGGCTAAATGGCTTCCTATTTTCCCTCGTGGCTTCTCCGCTGGCTTCAATTGGAGAGTGATTGAAGGCTCTCCAAACTCTTCTCTCCCGCGAAATTGATCTGCTCACGTCTCTCCCGCGAAATCAATATGCTTCGTCAGTGCGAAATCGATCTCCAAACACGATTTGTATCACATATTTATTTAGTCATAAGATTAGATGTCAGGAAAAGACTATTTAATTGGATGGAATATGAATACTAAGTTTGTTTGAGATAAATGATTATTTTACCAGTTTCAATTATTTACTAAGTAATAATAATATTATCAATTATTTACTAAGTAATAATAATATTAAGCACATCGACCTCTTCCTCAAGGTATGGATCCTTTTATCTCTCTGTCTTCCCCTTCTATGCAACTCATAAACCCTCTTTCTCTCTCTTTCTCTCTCTCTCTCTCTCTCTATATATATATATATATGTATAGGACAAACTTTCCTTGTTCCTCTGTAATCTGGGTCTCTCCCATGTTCTTGGTTTTACGAATCTGTATACAATTTATGTGTGTATTGTCTGTCTGATCTGTGAGTTCAACCATACCTTGATACTTCACTGTTCTATTTTTGTGTTTTGAGTTTTTGTGTTGCCAATGATTTTACAAGATGGACCTTAATTCTACATATTCTAAGAATATTATAATGGGTTTACTCACATTCAAAATTATTTTAAAAAATCAAATAAATAAACATCAATAAAAATTAAATAAAATTATTTTATTTTTAAATTGAGACATTCAAATTTTATTGAATTTTACTAAATATAATACATAATTAAATAATAGAGGGTGAAAATAGTTATTTCACTACCTAATCTCATATCCCCTTATTCTCCCATTTGTGTCCCACTCCTCCATGGGACACAATAGTCCAACAGATTTGAGACTAATAGTTCGGTGCAAAAATATTGAACCAAACAACGGATTATTAGTTCAAATGGACTATTAGTCCAATCCTAAAACTCAATCCCTCAAAACAAATACCACCTTAGAGTATCAAGTAGTTATGTCACAAGACCAATCAATAACTATCAAGTCCAAGCTCGAACCCAAACCCAAATTTAAACACAATCCGATAATTTTTTCAATTTCAATAGAATCCCGGACCCGAGTTGCCCGAATGTACTTTAAGGTTGTTTGGGAAGATCTAAATAAGAGATAGTTTGGAATGTATTAGATTAGTATATTTTTTGTTTTTTTTATGAAAAGACATAGAAAAATAGAAATGTGATATGATCCAAAAAAGATATAAAAAAAAAATCTCTAAATATATTTTTTGACTTTTTACAAAAAATGTACAATGTGGTAGAGAAATGATATAACCTAAATAAGAAGTGATATAATCCAAATAAAATAAAAAGACATATTAAAATAACACATGCCAAACAATCTCTTAATTTGTGTTTCCTTGTAGTATTTATTTTTTTGAAAAACGTAGATTATTTCTTGACTCTTTACATTTTGAAAATTTTTCACGAAGACCCAACTTTGAAGAATCACTCCAAGGGTCGACATCAATAATTGGCGCTCCAGCAAAAGAAGACAAAATCCATAGAAGATAAGGATTCTCCTCAGATATCAGAAAAATGCACGCCAAAGACAAAAAGAATTTTGCAAATATTTTGTGTCTGTAATTATTTGAGTCTGTTAGTGATAAAGATTTTCCTTCACTCACTACTTTAATAGAGTGGATATTTCTTATCCTGCTTTATTAAAGAAAAGCTGTGAAAATCTTTATACGTGTCTTGTAATAAATTATAGTGTTAAAATTTTGTCAAAAAATGAGGATTGAATGATATGCGATGGGGCCCAAAACAGCACCTGATATCATTATCCTAATCTTTTATTGATAAGATTTTATCCATAATAATAACTTACGTCTAAATCTATGCATTTATGGCATAGATATTATTGTATGAATCTAGGTAGTCTATGTAGGAGTCTATGGTCTAGGTAAAATAGCCTTTAGACTTTTTGTTTTCTTTGCCAGAACTTTTGACGAAATGGTTTTTTGGATTGTTTCGACTTGTATGTATCAATTTTGTGTATAAATTGACATGCTTGCCAACGAAGAAGGCAGAATGAAAAAACACCCCTTCACTTTGCATTGTAAAAATCTCCAACCCCTCTCAAAAAACCTCTACTTGTATTAAGTTTTTCAGAATTCCAGAGTCTGTAATATAATCTTTGTAAGTATACTTCTTATTAATATGAAGTGTGAGTAGTTTCTCTTTTTCCTTAAATATTTCAAAAGGGTAACTCTTCTATTCTAAAAATTTATTTTCTTTTAATTCGATTATTCTTTTAAAAGCTTCACATAACACAAAAAGTATAGACTAGTTTTCTGTAAAACTATCGCATGTTTGTCATTGATATTAAACTGCTCCTCCGCATAACTGAGGAACAATGAACTACTCAAAAGCAAATCTTCGACATTAGTTTCTGTTCTGAAGCATTTCTTCTCAGTACTATTGATGCAATGGTTAGCTTCTTCAGATGATTTGGTGAGGCTTTCTTGTTGGGTAGTCTGTGGTATAACATTGCAGACAGAACTCTGGTGGCTATCATACTGGTCTGCAATTAAAAAGACATAAAAAGTCCCATAAAAATCAATACAATTGAACTGCATATTGCAAATGCAAGTACCTATATATGCACCCTAAGGTAGAGTAATGACTCGCCTTATATGTGTGTATATTTTCAATCCAGTTATAGATATAGAATCCCATATGCAGACATTAAAATAGCAGTACCCTTTTCCATTTTTCTTTTTCCTGTACTTGTGGGAACGCTATGCAAAGAAATGATATAAGTTACATCCAACAGCTAGTGACGGGTAAGGTGGGCTTAAAACTTTGAACCATAATTGTAATACAGTTTTCTGGCCCTGAAGACACTCGGATAAGAGACAGTCCTCCTCCATGAATTAGTACCTTTTATACTTACAGAATGCGTACATGTATGCGAGAGTAGAGAATTCACTTCATTACTAATTCTCATAATTTAAAAAATTCAAATCTAAGAATGTGCCATACCTTTACTCTGAAATTCAGAGGAATCTGTCATTTCTTTAGGAAGGAGTTGATCTGCAGTTGTAGTGCCAGTTCTTGTCATATCGGATTCATTTTCACAACTACAGTCAATTGACTTGTCACCATACTTGCATCCCACATTTTCAACCTGCATTGTCATATAATGTTTCAATCTTCGCAATAAAATTTTCTTTATTTGGTGATGATTCTAAGGCTGTCTCATTAGTTTCAACATTGCATTGCCTACTTTGTTATTGTCTTTAAAAAATATATTTAAACAACAATATATGCATATAAAAATCAGAGAACAAACAGAAGTTTCTAAAAGAAATAACATTAAGATTGTAAAAATTGAATGCTAGGACTCACAACAGAATTAGCTGCCAAGGGCTCCTTGCTTGGCTTCTCATTATTCAGATTCTTTTCCCGATCACCACGATTACACGATATGGCTGGTGTTGTATGTTTTGAATTGCCGCTTGAGGAGGTGGATTTTTGCTGGGAAATACAGCTCTTTGCAATGATTGACCCCGTCTCAGGTTTTCTTTGTTTTGTGGAGGTCACTTTGGCTTCATCATGGGACTTAGAAACAGCTTTGGATTTCACTTTCTCCATTTCTTCTGGTTTCTTTGCTCGCAGTGCCACCTTCTGTATCCTATCAACTTTCTTCCCAATCACTTTCTTTTTCTCTTGCTGATTTGAAGGTAGTACGAAAGCCTTCAACTCATTAGAAGACAGCTTGTCATTGGTCTGGACTACTTTCTCTTCTGCTTTTGCTTGTATCCCTTTAGAATTTTTTACCCCTTCCGGGCCAAGCCTTTTGATTGGAGTTTCTTCACCTCTGTGTCTTCTAGACAGATTACCAAACAGAGCAAATCTGTAAAACAGATTGAAGAGGAAAGGTGGGATCACAATTTAGAAAGAGATGCTGTGTGCAGTTGGGATGAAAACTACGATGAAAAAGACCATGAACAATAGATTTTAGTAAATCAACCTCAAACCAGTTCAATAACCATCTTAAATATTTTTGGCATTTTATATTGACTTATGTTCTATTTTTTTAAGCATGGAGTGTATATTAATTTTAAAAAATTGTTATTCCTTACCCATTAATTCTCATTTCATAAGCTAAATATGATCCTTTATCCAACTCAATGTACCTAGTAAAAAATGAAAAATGATATCCACACATCAAATTCCAAATAATTGTTTCTTAGTCAAATAAATTATTCTTATATGAAGTGTGATAACTTTGAGAGTTTTTGGAGTCTACTAAATTTGCTGAGCAAGGTTTTCTTTTTATCAAGAACACGTGAAAGAGAGAAAATTCTAGCGAGTTTGATTTTGCGCAATAATAAAATATTCACTAAAAAGATATCAAAGACACTGTAGAGAGTCCAAAAAACTGAAACTTTATTTAGCTCTTAGCAGCCAAGTGGACAAATAAAAACATTATTGGCTTCCCAAACGAAGCCTATATACAAAGATGTCTTATTATTATTAAATTTCTTTTTACATCATTCATATCATATTCTTATGTAAACTCTATTAAAAACAAACAAGCATTTAAAATCCACTTCCTTTGACAAGCATACATACACATGCACACATATATAAATGTAATATATGTTAGCTTCCTCTGACATACTGATTCATGGTTCTTTGAAAGCTCAGCTTGCTTCCTTTGACTTCATGAGTGCTTCCAACCGACAATTATTCTATCCTTTGATTCACATACCTTGGAATTCTTTGATTTCTTTGAGAAAAGATGAATCTTCCGCAGCTCCAGAAATTCTTTTTCATTGAATTTACATGATCTCCATTTATTTATCTAAAATTATCATTGAATCATTTTCAACAAAACAACTAGTGTTTTAATCTACATGATCTCTATTTATTAATTAATTTGCTTCCAATTGGGAATCTTAGTTATTTCTCCAACCCAATATATGTTGCCATAATTTTGTTTACCTTGTGTATAGATGAGTCAGCAACAAAATGATGCATATTTCACCAACTTGATGAATGATGGGATTGATTATGAATTTATGGATGAACCTCTTGACCAAGGGGATCAGTCTTCCCCAATCTCTCCTCAAATAGAAACCACCAAGAAACCACAACGAGGTCGCAACTTCACTACAGAAGAAGACAGTATGCTCATATCGGCGTGGCTTAACATTAGCTTAGATCCAGTGCAAGGGAATGAACAAAAATCAAAGGCTTATTGGCTAAGAGTGTGGGAGTATTTCCACCAGTACAAAAAAATTTCATCTAATCGTAGTCAAACTTCTTTAATGAACCGTTGGTCAGCAATTCAACTTGCCACGAATAAGTTCAGTGGCTGCTTCGCCCAAATCCAAAGGTTGAATCAAAGTGGAAAGACTGACAAAGATAAGGTATTAATGCCATTGAGTTTTTTATACTTATTATCATTGGAATTGTCTAATCTCATGATAATTAGTGTTCTTTTATCTATTATTCAGATTCTTGATGCGAAGAAATTATACAAAGAGTTGTACAAATCGTCATTTCCATTTGAACATTGTTGGCATGAGTTAAGAGATCAACCAAAATGGCGAGAGGAATATAGCATGAAGAAACAAAAACCAAAAAAAGTGGCAACTCCCGGCGTTTGTTCTCCTAGTGCACTGGATTCAATCAATTTAGAGGACAATGATGTTTCACATAATGACAATGTAGTCTTGGAAAGACCACCGGGTAGGAAAGCTGAAAAGGAACGTTTGAATAAAAGAAGGAATAAAGATCGTGAAAATGAAGGAGGGTCACATATTTTAATATTATTAGAGGATTTAAAGGAAGATAGAAAGAAAATGAATGACAAGAAAATAGAGATGTATGAAAGGTCGTATCTTCAAGAGCAAGAAAAGATTGATAATGAGAAAAAGAGGACGCAAACGGAACAAGAAAAGGTTGATAATGAGAAAGAAAAGATACGAATGGAACAACTGAAGGAGGAAGAGCGAATAATGTCAATAGATACAAGTGGTCTGCCTTCATTGCAAGCAGAATACCTTCATCGCCGCCAAATGAAAATTCTCCAAAAAAAGATTTAGTTGTTGGAACTACCCAAAAAAAATTTAGTTGTTGGAACTATGTTTTTCACTTTATTTATTGTTGGATTTGATTCTCCATTGTAGGCAGAACTATGTTTTTTATGCAGTTTATGTTGGAATTATTTATTATATGTTAAAAGTTTTTTGGAACTACCTATTGTTGAATGGTTGAACTAGTAGTAATTTAATTACTGAGTGGAATTCTCGTTGGATGCTTGTTGAAGTACTCCATGGCTAAATATAATTCTTATTGTATGTTGGATTGGAGTGATTTTTATTTGCAGGACATTTCTATTTGTTGATCAATTAAATACAGATTATGTAAGTTGCTGGTGTTTTGATTTTGGAAGTTGTTTGATATGTTTTATAAATTTGACTTTGCAGAAAATTGAAGTTGTTAGGCAGAAACTTGCAAAGCTTAAGAAGCAAAACACAACCTAATATTTATTTTCAGTTGCTTATTACTCAGCTTCATTCTTCTTTTAATTTCCATGGCTCGCAATAGTGTAATGAAGATGATTATTGATGACTCTGATTCTGATAATGAATTGGAGATATTTGCAATAGCTGCTTTAGAAGAAGAGCGGCTAAATAATGAGAGGCAATTGGGATTACGTCATGGTTCCATTCAAGGTCATACAGTTATTTATCGTAATCGAATTCAAGGCCACAAGAGACTTTATCAAGATTACTTCTCTGAAACGCCTATATATCCGCCCAATTTATTTAGGAGGAGGTTTCGGATGAGTCGATATCTCTTTCTTCGTATTTTATCTATGGTGGAAGCATATGATCCTTATTTTGTCCAGAAGAAAGATGCTATTGGAGTTCTTGGTCTGTCTTCCCTTCAAAAGATGACAGCGGCTATGAGGATGCTCGCTTATGGAGTAGCGGCCGATTCTGTAGATGATTATGTGAGGATTGGAGAAAGCACTGCAATAGAAAGTCTACAAAGGTTTGTTCAGGCAGTGGTTGCAATTTTTTCAGATGTGTACTTGAGGGCACCAAACAAAGATGACATTGCTAAATTACTAGAGGTGGGAAAAAATCGTGGGTTTCCTGGAATGTTGGGGAGCATTGATTGTATGCATTGGAAGTAGAAGAATTGTCCTACTACATGGAAAGGTATGTATTGTGGTCATATCCATGAACCAACTATTATTTTAGAAGCGGTGGCTTCCTATGATCTATGGATATGGCATGCATTTTTTGGATTACCGGGATCTCATAACGACATCAATGTGTTAGAACGTTCTTCTGTATTTTCTCTCCTTACTGAAGGGCGTGCTCCCCAAGTTGATTACTCAATCAATGGAAATGACTATACAATGGGATATTATCTCGCTGATGGTATATATCCTCAATGGTCAACATTCGTTAAAACAATTCCATCTCCACGAGGCAATAAGCAAATACATTTTGCTAAGGCTCAAGAGTCAGCAAGGAAGGATGTCGAACGAGCATTTGGAGTGCTCCAAGCACATTTCTCAATTGTGCGAGGACCTGCACGTTTTTGGAAAGTTGAAACCCTTAAAGTTATTATGAAGGCATGTATAATATTGCATAACATGATTGTTGAGGATGAGCGAAATGAACAAAATATAGACTGTAATTATGATGCAATCGATGAAACTCTCCCTCCAGCAGTGTCACACGAGCGTACACCCGAACTTTATGACTTCATTCAAAATCATCATCGCATAAGAGATAGACAAACTCATTCTAAACTCCAAGCAGACCTAGTTGAGCATTTGTGGCATCTACATGGAGATTTGTAACAATTAGTGTTAGAAATAGTTTATTTATTTTGAATTTTATTCCTAACTTTGCTATTTATGATTTTTTTTCTTATTTATTCATTGACCTTTGTAAGGTTTTTAATTAGTTAATTTGTGTTCTTTCGGTTCTTAATTTTATAAACTATAATTATTGAAGAACTTCCTTTGTATTGTTATTTTTAAAAAAAAAATTCTTTATTGTTTTCTTTTATTCTTCCCCTCCATTCCTTTCAAGATGGTTCCACCAAATTCATATGTTGAAATGTATTCACATACTATAAATTTTATAATAAAAAAATTAAATATTACTTAAAATTATTTTTTATAATATTTTTAAAACTAATATTTTTTAATATTAGTTTTAAAAATATTATAAAAAATAATTTTAAGTAATATTTATTTTTTTATTATAAAATTTATAGTATGTGAATACATTTCAACATATGAATTTGGTGGAACCATCTTGAAAGGAATGGAGGGGAAGAATAAAAGAAAACAATAAAGAATTTTTTAAAAAAATAACAATACAAAGGAAGTTCTTCAATAATTATAATTTATAAAATTAAGAACCGAAAGAACACAAATTAACTAATTAAAAACCTTACAAAGGTCAATGAATAAATAAGAAAAAAAATCATAAATAGCAAAGTTAGGAATAAAATTCAAAATAAATAAACTATTTCTAACACTAATTGTTACAAATCTCCATGTAGATGCCACAAATGCTCAACTAGGTCTGCTTGGAGTTTAGAATGAGTTTGTCTATCTCTTATGCGATGATGATTTTGAATGAAGTCATAAAGTTCGGGTGTACGCTCGTGTGACACTGCTGGAGGGAGAGTTTCATCGATTGCATCATAATTACAGTCTATATTTTGTTCATTTCGCTCATCCTCAACAATCATGTTATGCAATATTATACATGCCTTCATAATAACTTTAAGGGTTTCAACTTTCCAAAAACGTGCAGGTCCTCGCACAATTGAGAAACGTGCTTGGAGCACTCCAAATGCTCGTTCGACATCCTTCCTTGCTGACTCTTGAGCCTTAGCAAAATGTATTTGCTTATTGCCTCGTGGAGATGGAATTGTTTTAACGAATGTTGACCATTGAGGATATATACCATCAGCGAGATAATACCCCATTGTATAGTCATTTCCATTGATTGAGTAATCAACTTGGGGAGCACGCCCTTCAGTAAGGAGAGAAAATACAGAAGAACGTTCTAACACATTGATGTCGTTATGAGATCCCGGTAATCCAAAAAATGCATGCCATATCCATAGATCATAGGAAGCCACCGCTTCTAAAATAATAGTTGGTTCATGGATATGACCACAATACATACCTTTCCATGCAGTAGGACAATTCTTCCACTTCCAATGCATACAATCAATGCTCCCCAACATTCCAGGAAACCCACGATTTTTTCCCACCTCTAGTAATTTAGCAATGTCATCTTTGTTTGGTGCCCTCAAGTACACATCTGAAAAAATTGCAACCACTGCCTGAACAAACCTTTGTAGACTTTCTATTGCAGTGCTTTCTCCAATCCTCACATAATCATCTACAGAATCGGCCGCTACTCCATAAGCGAGCATCCTCATAGCCGCTGTCATCTTTTGAAGGGAAGACAGACCAAGAACTCCAATAGCATCTTTCTTCTGGACAAAATAAGGATCATATGCTTCCACCATAGATAAAATACGAAGAAAGAGATATCGACTCATCCAAAACCTCCTCCTAAATAAATTGGGCGGATATATAGGCGTTTCAGAGAAGTAATCTTGATAAAGTCTCTTGTGGCCTTGAATTCGATTACGATAAATAACTGTATGACCTTGAATAGAACCACGACGTAATCCCAATTGCCTCTCATTATTTAGCCGCTCTTCTTCTAAAGCAGCTATTGCAAATATCTCCAATTCATTATCAGAATCAGAGTCATCAATAATCATCTTCATTACACTATTGCGAGCCATGGAAATTAAAAGAAGAATGAAGCTGAGTAATAAGCAACTGAAAATAAATATTAGGTTGTGTTTTGCTTCTTAAGCTTTGCAAGTTTCTGCCTAACAACTTCAATTTTCTGCAAAGTCAAATTTATAAAACATATCAAACAACTTCCAAAATCAAAACACCAGCAACTTACATAATCTGTATTTAATTGATCAACAAATAGAAATGTCCTGTAAATAAAAATCACTCCAATCCAACATACAATAAGAATTATATTTAGCCATGGAGTACTTCAACAAGCATTCAACGAGAATTCCACTCAGTAATTAAATTACTACTACTTTAACCATTCAACAATAGGTAGTTCCAAAAAAAATTTAACATATAATAAATAATTCCAACATAAACTGCATAAAAAACATAGTTCTGCCTACAATGGAGAATCAATGTCCTAAAGCACAGTGGTAGATGGAGCACTCACAACAATATATATGCATGCAACAATAGGCACGTTAACACACATTACCCTATTTTGCCGATCACAAGCACATAAAGCCAATAATGCACCCCTTTTCATCACAACACAAATATGAAAATAAACTACACATAATTATCACATAACATAACCCCGCTTCGTCAAGATATAACTAACACAACCCACTTTATTGGGCATGAATCGGATGGAAGAGGAACCCATTTCAAAGTGCCAAACTTTATTAGGCACAAATCCAGAGAACCCATATCAATTCGCTTCTTCATTTAACTCACCAATTATCTCAAATTTCACGATTTATTCAACAACGTCAACACCATCCTCTATCGATGGCCAAGAACACAGCCTCGGAATCAATAAGGACCAAGTCCATAAATTCAGTTATGTCCTCTGGATTTAGATTTTATCAACATTTATACGTTACATAACCTTCATCTTTCAACTCCAACTAATTCAACTTCCAATAATTTTAAAAATTACAAATATTCCTTTATTAGTATTTTTTTATTTAATAAAATTAACAAAAATAATAAAATTCCTAACTATTCTCTTATATAATAATAAAATTACAAAAATTATTAATTAAAATATATTTATAATATCATTAAAAATGGTTAATTGATTTAATAATTTATTAATAATATGGGTCATTTGTTACACAATTAGAAACTTGAAGGGACGGGACATAATTTTCAAAATCACAATGAATAATGCATATTTTAAGCGAATCTCAGAAAGTATATTTGTAATTTACTCTTTTTTTTTAATGAAATCATATTATTCAGTGTACTTTTAAATAAATAATTACAAATTTATTGAAAAACTCATGACTTTAATTATTAATATGAATAAACTTTACCATTTATCTGCAATTATTTTTTGAGCAAACTTCATTTTATCCCCTGTAGTTTAGGCTATGTGCGGTTTACCTCCTAACGTTTGGAAATGACCACATAACCTCCATGTGATTTGTGGATTGAAGTGCACCGTTAAACATTCTGTCTTACTTAAGAGCAAGTGTAAAACACGTGGTAGACATAAAGGGGTTATGTACTCATTTTCAAGTTTCAAGGAGATAAATTGCATATGAAATAAAGCACAAGGGCTTAAAGTGTACTTTATCCATAATTCATACACTTAAGTTACTTATATATAAGGGCATTTTAGTATTTTTATTAAATTGTTAACGAGCCTAACGATGTACTTCAATTCACAAATCATGTGGAGGCTTTGTGGTCATTTCCAAACGTTAAGGGGGTAAATTACACATGGCCCAAATCACAGGGGGTAATGCAAAATCTGCCCTTGATCAAGTTTATAATTTTACTTCTAAAAATATAACATATGTCACTGTAGACACCCCATTTTTGACCGACCTTAAAACTCAGACGTCACCAACTGAGTGCTCGGTATTGTTGCATATTGTGCTCGTTCTGAGGTTGCGGAGTCTCGGCTGTGAGCCTTGCCTCCGGACTTCAGGGCTCTTTTGTGCTTTACCTTGGTTTGTGAACCAGGTCCTGCTTTCTCTATTTTCTCTTCCCCAAGGGAGGAAAAGGTCTCGTAGACCATCTCTCAGCGGCCGTAGGCTACGTTTCGGGGTCATAGGCCATTTTTCCCGTTTGGAGCCCAGTTTTCGGTTTTTTCATAATAACCCAGAAGGAATCAGTAGCTATCAGGGTGTAAGTCAATCAGATAAAATAACAGTAAGACAAAATAATATAGAAATTCTATTTTTAATTAGAGTGTGTGAAAAATTTGAATATCTATCAGAACAACTACACAGCTTAGAAAATCGTCTAGCTTCTTTAGAAAAAATAATACTTCAAAAAGGAAAAGGAGTAGAAGGACAAACTAATAGACCCCAATCTCAGGTAATTGAAGAGGATATAGCCAGATATATTGAAAAGCTTAAATTACCAAGAAAATCCACCTGTAGAATTTACAGAAAATAAAAATGTTTAAACAGCTAATAAAAGGTAGTAGTAGTAGTAAAAAGCGTAATGAAGATGAAGATATTAAAGTAGAAGAACTTATAAATGTAGAACAACAAATAGAAAATTTTAAAAAAGAAAAGTTAGAGTTAATTCCAGCTAAATATGTGTATAAGCTAGGTAAGATTCATAAAAAACAATATTTATTTAAACACTATGGTGAACAGATGATTAGTGTAACTCAAGAAGATGAGAAAATAGAGCTAAATTTAACAGAAAGAGAAACCTATAAATATGCAGTAAATGAACACCTTAAAATGACTCATTTAGGATTAGTAGTGGTAGGAGTTAAGACTTTAACCAGAGAAAATTTAGGAACTAAAGTGTTTGTATGCCTCTATGATGATAGGTTTAATGATGTCGGACAGAGTATTTTAGGTAGCTATGAACTAGATATGAATTCAAAAGGAGGAATAGTTTATTTTACACCAGATTTTTTACTACCAACCTCGACCTTTCATAAAAAGATAAAAATAGGAATAAAGAGTAGAGGATATAAAATGAAAAAGGGAGAAAATAATTTATTAGTTTGTACAGGATTTTTAGGTTTAGCAGTCTCAGAAAGCAATACTTACTATAGACTTACAAATGATCAGATAGTTAAATTATTAGGCGCAAAAGGAATAAAAGCATTATCAGCTAAAAAATTTAATTCTGAAGATAATGCAGCACTAGATTGGAAACTAGGAGATTTTCTAGGACTAAAGAGATTAGCCCCTCAAGATAATTTATTATACCAAACAGCAGATGGAAATTATGCATTAAGATTTACTCAGTATACTTATGTAGCACCAGAAAAATCTGAAGATGATGAATTTAGTAGTATAGATAGGGAAGAAAATCAAGATAATCGTAGTGAAATAACTCAGCTTTACATAATGACAGAAGAAAAAATTATATCACAAAATAAGATATATAATATTGATGAGATAGATTTAAAAAAAATTTACCCTAGAAGACATGAATAAAATACTAGATGCTAGATATTATGAATACTTAGCCAGAGGAGATACCCATGACGAAGTAGTGTCATTTTTGGATCAAGAATTTCATACGGAATATGTAGATGATATCATAGAAGATAATATACATCTTAGCAAAATATTTAGAATACCAGAACAATCTAACCTAGAAGATACTTTTTATATGAATACAGAAAGCTCAGGAACCAATAACCCACAGCCAACTGTAGAAAATCCAATAGAACCAATGCATTATGCAGTAGGAGGAAGAAGACCATTAACCAGTTCAGGACATAGTCACGCAGACCCAAATAAAAGCTATAAGTTTCATGGAAAGCGTAGACAAAAATACCAGAACAATCTAAGTTAGAAGATACTTTTTATATGAATACAGAAAGCTCAGGAACCAATAACCCACAGCCAACTGTAGAAAATCCAATAGAACCAATGCATTATGCAGTAGGAGGAAGAATACCATTAGCCAGTTCAGGACATAGTCACGCAGACCCAAATAAAAGCTATAAGTTTCATGGAAAGCGTAGACAACTAGATATGAGTATACAATTACAACTAGTCAATAATCAAGGAACCCTTTTAGATTTAGCTAGATTCGACCCTCAGATATGGCAGGAAGTAATAGAAAGATGGAAAAAAGATGCAGTAAAAGCATGGATGGCTAGTCCCTATGAATCAACGGATATGTGGGAATATATGGAGACACTTCTAGGAGATTCAGCTTATAATATTTATTTAACTTTCAAAGGGAAATATGACGAAACAATTAAACAGCTCAAAGAATTAGGAAATAACCCGTGGAATTTTACAAATTTTATTAAAGAAATACTTATAGGATATGATCCTTCTAGAGGAAATGATTCCGCTCAAAGCGTAGCATTAACTGAGTTAGACCAAATAACATTAGGAAGTTGGAAATATATTGTACCTTTTAGTAAAGAATACTTAGCCATAGCAGCAAGAACTAGAAAAAGTTTTGATGAAGAAATAGGAAATAAATATTTTAGAAAATTACCAGGAGAATTAGGAAGAGAGATAGAAAACAAATGGTCAATTTATTATGCAAGTTTACCAGCAAAAATAGTCACAGGAGAACTAAGAATAAGAGGAACTTTAGGAATAGGACTTAGAAATAGTTTTTACATTTTATAAGCTCAGAGAAAAATGTATAGAAGTTAAAATACAGAAAGGCTTGAAAAAACAAAGTTACGGCTTTTGTAGCAGTGTAATATATACTCCTCAGCAATATGAAGATGAATATAATAGGAAAAAATACAAAAAATATGGAAAATATAGAAAAGA